TGTGCTGCTTTGTTTCCGAGTCTTGATGTGATGATTTGAACTGTGTTGTGCTGAATTTTACCCGTTTGTTTACTGTACTTTTTTTCTTACTGCAGGAATTCAACTCGCTGTGACACTCGACCTATTGCATGTGCAGTCGCCCGCACAGACTGAACCGTAAGTGCCTCCCAGTGCTCCCAGCAGCGTCCTCCTCTCCTAAAACTGTCTGAAAGCTGAGCAGCATCAAACTGAGAGCTGCATGGTGCCGTCATACATTTCACACGTCTTCCACACGGCAGGAACGAGTCGCGTGATCAGCGACAAACAAATGGAGTCAGTTGTGTCTCAACAAAAGAAAGAGCACTGACGTTCCACTTTTTATGACTAATGTTACTGAACTGACACCTGACGTCCTTTTTTTATTTCTTATATTTGTTATTCTGTGTGGGCTCAGTTGGTAGATCTGTTGCCTCTCGCTGCAAAGGTCGCCGGATCAAATCCCGGCTGGGAGCTTCTCTAGGTGGAGTTTGCATGTTCTCTCCATGCATACCTGTGTTTTCTCCGTGTTTTTATATTGTATGTGTTTTATATTTACACTGAAAGATGTTTGTTGGTGTGCCAAAGATTATAGCAAAGGTGTGTCTCCATATATCTGTTTTTCTTTTCCAAAAATCGCACGACGTTCTCTCCGTGATAGTGTCAGTTTAAAGTATTCATCCGTCATCAGCTTGTTCCAGAGTGGGGTCATGGGGCAGCAGCAGTAAGAAGCTTACCAGGATTTCTCTGCCGCAGTTTCTCATTGAGTTTAAAATGTCTATGCGAAAAAGAACGTCTTAAAATTGCATCATCGTGATCCACTGGCTTAGGCCTTAGGTCCAAGTAAAACCAGCCCTAAATGTTTGAGATTGTTTCCTGGTGACCGTGAGCTGGGTCTCGTGCAGATTAGCCATTAGCTCGTCTGTTGGGTCAGAATGTAGGTCCATTCCATCAAACAGTGGCAGTTCAAAGAGCTATCCACAACAGGTAATATATTAGTTGTTTACGTCTTTCCCACAGAACCCTGCTCAAGATCTGAACGTTCATTTCAAGAACGTCTTGTCATATGGATTTCATTGTTGTATTGCTCTGTTCAAAATGTATTTGTTTTATGACTAAATCTGCTCCTCATTCTTTGTGTTGTGCAGGGAAAATAGTGCGGCCTGATGTGGCTCCTATGGTTGCAGCCGTGCATTGATGAACTCCTATGGTTACAGCCGTTGATGAACTCCTATGGTTAC